CACCACCCCCCCGCCGCACACCCTACCCCCACCCCAGGTGTACTCCACTCTGCCACCCTCATTTTGGACTCTTATGATAATCATAATGCCCTAAAATATATTACTTTTAAACTATTCTCTTCCTCATTGGTTTCAATGCAGTAAACATAATTTATCCAGTTTTTCTCAGTCTTACTCCTACCCTGATGTCAGCCTCACTCTACAACAGTGGCACCATATAGTATTTGTCCTTTTGTGACTGAGATATTCCACTTAGCATAATGTCCTCCAGGGTCATCCATTTTCAATAATATTGCATGAATTCTTTGTTTTTCAATGCAGTGTAGTATTCCATTGTGTGAATATACCACAGCTTCTCTATCCATTCGTTTGTTGATGGGTACTTACAATCTTTACAGAAAGGCACCCTGGTGGCATACAGGTTGCTTGTTGTGCTGCTAAGGAAAAGGTTGCTGGTTTGAATCCACCAGCCACTTGGTAGAAGAAAGAAGAGGCAGTCTGCTTTTGTTCAGACTTATAGCCTCAGAAAATTGATGGAGAAGAAGAGTTGCTATGACTAAGTGTTGACTCTGTGTCCATGCAGTGGGCTTAGTCAGTTCTCCCAGAAACAGATGGCCAGGCTTTTCATCTGTGGTTCTCCTGGTGGTTGGAAGCTCCAATCTATTCCATCAAGGCTATTGTCAATGGATACTGTGATTTTTGGCAGTGATCTTACTCTGTCTTGTCCCAGGTGCAAACACTGCCCAGTGCCCTGCTCTGGTCTCTGTGACACTCTAGCATTACCAGAGCTGCCCAGGCAGGAGGGGCAGCTGGCCCAGTTACTCTAACAGTGGTACAGAGGTTGTCCCTAGTGACTGGGTAGAGGGACATGATCACATGATCATTTGGCTACAGGCTCTCTTTGGAGAGGAGCCAATCATCCCTGTGAAGGGGACAGTAAGACTACATGTCAGGCTTCCCTACATCCCTGTCACCTGCAACCTAGAAGCCCTGTTTGGCTGCGTGTGCCTGAGGAAAGCCTTACATGCTAGCCGTATCCCCTTGGTAGAGGTTACTTTCTCCCCAAGTCTCTAGAAGTTTGGGGACGTTTCCTCTAACCCCTCCCACCTATACAAGAATAATTCTGCTAGAATTTGCAATGAAGTGGACACTAGATTAGGAGGCAGTGACTGGGAAGCTGTGCCCTAGACACCCAGTGGCAGGCCTGGACATCCAAGACCCCTGGATTTCCTGTTTCCTGTGATGGGGGTTGGGGAGAGGAAAGACCAAATCACAACAGGATAATGAAAGAGTGAGATGAGTAACATTGTCCCCAATGTCAGTTCCCCCTGCAGCTCCAAGTTAAACTGAGCTCATGGCCTCTCTACTCCCAGGGAAGATCATGCCTTTTTCTTGTCTAGGTTCCATTAAGTTGCTCCTGTGTAGAGAGGCTTAATAAGAACTAGGTCATTTTGTTTTTATTCTGTATGACAGTGCCCAGTGTTCAGGACATTCACAGAGCAGTCCTCTTACATCTGTGCCTGACTGAAGTAGGGGAGGGAGCAGCTAAAGCCTTGCTGTGATGAAGTCCTCTCATTGATGAGAGCTGTTTGGCACCCAGTGTCTTCTCCATGAGAGTTGTCCACACTGAGCCCTGAGTCTTCCTCCCTTTAGCGATGCCCGAAGGTGTTGGGCAGTTTGGTGGGCTGATGTTGACCACCAGGTGAAATGCTGCGTACACATACATCCTAGTCAGTGGTCATTGCCCAATAGAGTGTCTTTACTGACAGTGAGGACAGAATGAAAGAGGCTTAGCACCTGCCTGGCCCAAAGAGCCAGCTGTGGGGATTGAATTAGTTTCTAGGCCTGCCATAGAAACCTCCATAAATTGGTTGGCTTAGAAGAACAGAAGTTAGTCTCGAGGCTCTGGAGGCTCAGAGTCCATATTCAGGCTATCAGGTGGGTCATACTCTTGTGCAGGCTGCAGGAGATCCTTTCTTGTCTTTTCCCGTTTCTTCTAGCGTAACACTAGTGACCACATGGCTCTTCTCCCTGTGTCTCCTGTGTCTTCTCATCATTCAGGAGCTCTTGTGACCTAGTGGTAAGGAGCTGTACTGCAATCCCGAGGGCACACGGTTCGAATCTACCAGGTGCTCTGTGAGAGGATGGGCAATCCTCTCCCATCTGATTAACTGCCTCTGAAAACTCTCAAGAGGGTCAGCTGTGGGTCAGTTCTGACTCGACAGCACACAACAACAACAACAACAACCAGTGCCATAATGGTTAAACCCGTAGCTGCTACATAAAACGTTGATGGTGCAGATCCACCAGCCATTCCATGTGGGAAAGACATAGCAGTCTGCTGCTGTATGAGGTAGTTTTACTCTGCCTTTTAAATTTAGGATTGATTTGACATCAATGGAACTCAGGTTGAGTTAAGATCCACCCTACTCCAGCATGGTGCCATATTAACTGATAACACCTTAAAAGCCCTATTCCCAAACGAGACCATGCTTAGAGGTACCAGAAATTAGGACCTTTACATATCCTTCTGAAAGTCACTATTGAATCCCTAACAAGGACTAATCTTCAATTTTGACACTGCCACATACTAACAGTGGGATCCAGGGCCCGAAATGGGGGGGAAAAAAATCTATTCTTTGGGTTAAAGATAAATTAGATGACTAGGTCGAAGTAAAACAAGTTACATGGTTGCATCAGGCATCTGCTTTCAAGTAACTTCCTGACATCTAAAATGCTCCAGCTGATTTGTCTTTGCTAATGTCTCTTAAAGGGAAAAATAAAGTACACTCAGAGGGTCATTACTGGAAGAAGCAAATCATCAAAGGACTTTAATACAGGATATGCCTATTTCCTGTTTTCTTCTTCCTGTTGCTGATAAACTGAGTTCAAGGATAAAACTGTCCTATTTCCCCTGTCCTCACTGCCACATCTGTCTAACTGGCATGTCTGGAATGCTCTTAATGCCTCCCATACATTGAGATGCATTGGCACAGTGACTACAATGATGGCTTTAAGCAAGCGAAGACAGTGAGGACGGTGCAGGGTTTTGATCTGTTGTGCGCAGGGCTGCTTTGGAGTCAACTTGATGGCACCTGACGACAACATACCTAGGAAAGGGGGGCCTGGTGACATAGTACGTGGATAGACTGCTAACCAACAAATTGGCAGTTTGAGGCTGTCTCCTTCCATTAAGATTTACAGCTTTGGAAACCCAATAGAGAGGTGCCCCCCCAAGATGGGTCAAATTGACAGCACTGGGTTTTGGGGGTAATTTCTAGGAAGAACTCCAATACCAGCCCTGGATTTAGCTATCCAATTTTTCCTACTATGCCCTTTCAAAAGACACACAGATTCAAACCTATACAATTGCCATTTTTAAATAGCATTCTTCCTCTGTGGAACAACTCATATTGCTTCAGGCTTGAGTTTCTCTTGCTAGTGGCAATAATAGTTGTGGTTGAAATTTCCATTGTAAACTGTAGGTTTAGTTCATGGTGCCATTATAGAAGTGTTGGCTCATTCTGCTGCAGTGACCACGGACTGCGGGGGGAGGGGGGAGGGCTTTAGGAAATGACTCTGCTCAGCACAAAGCAAACCGTAGCTTT